TCTCTCTCTGTGTCTCTCTCTCTGTCTCTCTCTCTCTGTGTCTCTGTGTCTCTCTCTCTGTGTCTCTGTGTGTCTCTCTCTCTGTGTGTCTCTCTCTCTGTGTGTCTCTCTCTCTCTGTGTGTCTCTCTCTGTGTCTCTGTGTCTCTCTCTCTCTGTGTCTCTCTCTCTGTGTCTCTCTCTCTGTGTCTCTGTGTCTCTCTCTCTGTGTCTCTCTCTCTCCGTGTCTCTGTGTCTCTGTATCTCTCTCTCTGTGTCTCTCTCTCTGTGTCTCTCTCTCTCTATGTGTCTCTCTCTCTATGTGTCTCTCTGTGTCTCTCTCTGTGTCTCTCTCTCTGTCTCTCTCTCTCTGTGTCTCTGTGTCTCTCTCTCTGTGTCTCTGTGTGTCTCTCTCTCTGTGTGTCTCTCTCTGTGTGTCTCTCTCTCTCTGTGTGTCTCTCTCTCTCTGTGTGTCTCTCTCTGTGTCTCTGTGTGTCTCTCTCTCTGTGTGTCTCTCTCTCTGTGTCTCTCTCTCTCTCTGTGTCTCTCTCTCTCTTTCTCTGTGTCTCTGTCTCTGTGTGTGTCTCTGTCTCTCTGTCTCTATCTCTTTCTGTCTCTCTCTCTATGTGTGTCTCTCTGTGTCTCTCTCTCTCTCTGTGTCTCTCTCTCTCTCCCCAGTCTGGGCGTTCCTCCCGGCGTTGCATCATGCGAGCCCTCAGTGTGGGCAAACATCCGCTGACAAATTGTCACATCGTGTTCATGTGTGTTGCCTCTCCCGCAGAGTGACAATGGAAAGTCTCCGGAATCAGAGCACAGGCTGGAAACATGGAAGAAATCTCTGACTTACCCAGCATCCTCTTCTGCACGATGTCTTCGTCCCCTCTTTCCCTGCATTCCCCTATCTCTTAAACCTCCTCCCACTGACAAGCCAAGATCTCCATCCTCCTCTTTCACTCATCTCTTCTTTCTTCCTTCTGTCTCTGCTCTGTTTCTTTCTTCTTCTCTGGTGGTGTCTTCTTCCTGCTGCTGTAAACTGCAGACTGTCTGGTGAGAGAAAGAGGGAGGGAGGGAGGGAGTGAGAGAGACAGAGGAGCGGTGGGAAGTGCAAACCAGGACACACACAGCCTCCGTCAGTTTGAATGAATATTGTGCACACTCGGCTCGTCTCTCCTCCCCCCTCTCTGGCTCTCTGCCTCCCTTCCTCTCTCCGTCTACCAGACACCCCTCCTCCACTCTGCCCTCCTTTTCTATCTCCTCCCTCCCTTCAAACATGTTCACACTCTAAGACTGACTGACATTATAGGACTGCATTTACTCCTCCCCCCCCCCCCACACACACACACACTTCTCTCTTTCCTGGACCCAGACAGTTAACCCTTTTTGATCCAGCTGCACATCCTGTCTGTTTGCATTCACTATCATCTTCTTAGTACGTGCTGTTTTCAAGTTAAGGAATCCTGAATTCATTCTTCCTCTTGATCCTTTCTCCTTTTTAATAGTTTTGTGTCCTAGTTTGCAAATGGCTTAAGTTCATAATCCGTACAACCTCTCATTTCCCATGTGATACTTCCAAAACCCAGATGTACCAATGTGTGAATTCAGCCCATGTGAAATGTGTGCGCACTGGATGTTTTCACATGTCTTACAGTTGGTCTGTGAATTAGAGATCACCGTGCTTGGGATGATTCCAGCTGTGAAGCTAAATCAGGACAGGGCCATCAAGTTGGGCCCTCCTCACTCCCTACCCCCAACTTCCTGCACCGTCCTTGGGAAAACACCCATCTTTGAACTTGACCTCCATTTTGATTTAAACGTAACTCTTGAAAGGTTTTGTGACGGACAGACACATATACTAAAAAAAGATATTGTTATATGTCGCAAATGTGATCACATGTGCCTTCATCATGTGAATTGATCGCGTTTTGAATATTGAAAATAGCAAGTTTATCGCATGTGAAATGCTGTTTTACTTATGTGATGTACCCCAAACATTTTACCAAAATAAAGTGTCATCATCATGTCACTATTACATATGAATTGCTGTTTCACCTTTGATCAGCCGGTTTGAATTATATGTGAAATGTATGTTTCACCATGCTATGTCTTACATTTCACTCCTGAATTATCTGAAATACAACATGAGCCCCTAAATGTGTTCAATGTGTGATATAACAATGAAATGGATGATTTCACTTTTCCTGTCTTACATTTTATCTTTGCTTCATAAATTACATCTGCTCATATCATGTGAATTTGTCTCAAGTTAAATGGTTGCATAACCTTGGATAATGTGAAATGTGCTTTACATACATAAAGGAAATGTTCTTTCAGTCTTTTGATCATCTAAATCACGTTTGTTATTACCGTGTGAATTGATCCCATTTTATGTGAAATGCAGTTTCACATGTGTTGTATGTAACATACATATGTGATGTACATAAACATTTCACAAAACTGTGTTTACATTATTATTGTATGTGAAATCTATGTGCTATTATGCTATGTCTTACATTTCTTATAAACATCTGAACACAACATGCGCCTGTATCATGTGAATAAGTTAAGTGTGTTTTACATTCTTAAGGAAATGGATGACTTCACTTGTGATGTTTTACATGTTACATCTGATACCTGGAGGTTTTTCTTACCGTTGCTTGTGTCATGTGAATTCATCTAATGTGAAATATGGTTCAGTCCATACATGTAATATTTAGGTATTTAATTTACTTATTTTATTTCACGTACAATGTACAGATCATTTTAAGTTCTGAACCATTTTATTCACGCTGGGCAAATG